CATTTGCGGAGTTTTGCAGTTATCTTCTTACAGAGACGCCAAGAGTGTGAACACGTGAGCTCACGCTCGCTGAAGTGTGAACAGGATCGCAGTCTGAGCAAAACAGCGGAAGGAAGACGCGTCTTAAGCTTTCTTTGAAGCCCTTATTGGTAAGGAAGGATGATTATGCTTTTCACGGCAGTATCTACCAACATCCGCAAGTCATGCTCAGTCGCCGGCTCGTTCCTTTTTCTTCCGCGGCGAATTTTGCGAACTGTAGTAGCCCTTCTTCACTCCGTGGATTTACTCCCGAGTAAACGCACGCAATGAAGTTGGAGAAACTGTTGGGTTGATGGGCCTCCCTCCCACTAAGGTGCTTTGCAGTCCCAGTAAAGCTGCAGAGGACAGGGCTGCGCCTGGTTCCCCTGTCTCATGGAGAAAGCGCAAGGTGGCCAGGGGAAATGGGCAGGTGGCCAGGGGAAATGGGCAGGTGGCCAGGGGAAATGGGCAGCAAAGGGTCAAGTCTTAATCTGATATATTCCAGATTAAGCTAAACCCACCTTCCAGCCAAAAATCAATGCGTTTTTTAAAACAGCATCTTAGTAGGGTCACTGTAAAAAAATGACCTAACAGTAGGAGATGCGCCTTCCTAAACAGAACAACGGCGCATTATCGGAGAGCGCGGATGGGGGAAGAATTGACACTTCTTTCTCTAACCATCCGGCTAGTGGAGCGAATTCGGCTTCCGACCTGCCCTTCCTGGAATGAATTGTCGCTGGCTGGTACCACGCTGGAAGGACTGCAATGGATGGCTCACCCGAAGTAATCCTCGGTTACGCGCCGGCCGAAGCAGATATTTTGAGCGCCTATGAACATGCGATATCTAACCTAGCAATCCGTAACGTGGTGGACGACTTTGCCGGCACTTAGCCCAATCCTCAGCTTCTTTACAAGGAAGCATCTCACTGAATTCTATGGAATGTCGCGCCAAGCAATTAAGGCTGGCCTTGGAAATCAGTGGGTTTCCTTTCGAGTAAGCATCGCGGAGGCTTGCGCTACTCTTGGAAAAAAAAATTTAACTTCGCTTCTACCGAAAGCCAATAGTATTTGGACTCAAATACTTTGCGAAGACACAATCTTTAAAACACAGGCAAAACTCTCTCTTTGTGCGTAACATGCAAAGACTGGGTTATTTCAAACGAAGGTTTTAGATTCCTAGCCCGATCCACCGAAGGTGCGCTTAAGTTTCAGCTGGTTTAGAGCTACTGAAGTCTTACAGCGTCAGGACGGAGATTTCTAAGGTGGCTACTTCGAATTAAGGTGGCTACTTCGAATTGAAGTCAGGGGACTGATTCCAGCCACAGGTACGGCCCAGGGCCATTGTTTCGTTACTCTCCCTGACACTCACTGTCTCTGCGTTTTCACTCACAGGGAAAGCATCCAGGAGCGCAAGCCGAGCCTAATTTATGCTTGCTGCCGAAGGCGGCACTCCTTGAGGAGAACAAGCCCCACCAAACACAATGGAAGATTATACAGAGGATCGGGTTATCGTTCTGCTAAACTGGACGGTACTCTCAAACAAGGCTGCGTCGCGCAGAACGATCCTAAAGGCGACCTTACTTGGAATTAAGCCCCACTGAGTTCATTAGGACTCCGGTTCTATTAGATAAACTAAGGAGCAACCACATGGAGAGGCCAGGAGGCCCTTGAGTCCGGCCTGCGCGCATCTAAGTGAGCGCGATCCATGGGTCTCCTTGCATCATGCAGGTTCCCTTAGGAACACGATCTCGCAGTCCTAATTTGCGGGAAGAGTATCCACTCCCGCTGCTTCTCCAACCCCCTCTGGTGCTGCGGATCCATCTTTAGAAGTCCGACTGGGATTGGGCTAGTGGGCACAGGATTGCAGCCACCCAACCCAGGCCTACAGGGGCTAACTCAAAAGGAGTCCGGCTCAGTTCCATGGCGCCTGGACCGCCTCCCTCCTGTAGAGAGTCTCGCACACAATTTGGGTCAGCTTGCACCGGATGCGCTGAAGAACCAGGTCCAAGCCTAGATTCATCAACGTTTAGTTCTACAAGATTTTCACGATGCTGAGCCCACCTTCCCGGCGCTCTCAGGCTTTAACTTGCTTGCGCATTGTCTTGTGTTTCGTCTTTGAAAGGTGAGACACACGCCCACATATAAGCACGGACCTCCGCCCGCAGCAACCCAGGTTCGGTGCAACTTAAAGAACAGTCGATCTTCCGCTGAACAGATCAAGCTGTGCAACCCAGTCGCCCGGGGTGCCACTTCCACCGCTGCCTGAAAAGGATGATTGGCACCGAAAGGGGCACCGGCGGATGTGCCTGCACGCCCGTCCCTCTGCCTATGAAAAGGCAGCGGACATTTTTCTCCGCCGCCCCCCCTTTTCCTCAATAAGACGGGAACCACACCCAAGTGCTTTTGAAGAAAATAAAGTCATTTATTGTCAAAGCATCCAACATACCCAGATAAACTATAAAGTTTAATAAATCTTTTTCAAGGGAAAAAGAAAAGCAAAGAAAAAAAAACACATAACTATTCAGACTTCATTTCACTGGCACAAAATTACACTTTGTATTAAAAGGAAATCCGTATTTACATTCTGCACCAAAGTCCATAATAACCTTTACATGTGGAACATGCACTTTCCCCACTAGAAACATAAAATGAATTCAAGTCTTTATGGAATTTATTACTATTATTTTTGTAGAGAAAAAGGGAAGGGAAAAAAAAAAGAAACCGTTGTCAAGTAATGCACAAAAGCATTGCATCCTTATTCAGTATTTTTTTAAAATTTTGCTTTATATCTAAAATAAACTTTTTACCCTTACATATAGTTATTATTACAGCTAAACCGTAAGTGCTTAATAATTTAAGTAGAAACGTATGACAAATGCATCAATATGTTGCAATATATGACATTTTAAAAATGTACTTTTTAAAGTTATTTACTTTTTTGGAAAGTGAAAATGCGTGCATTTGAAACAATAGCAGGGGACAAACAAACCCACCAACCACCTTTTGATTCTTAATTATTATTATTAGTTTTGCAAGGTAAACATATGCACAGGCATAACATTTTCGGCAGTGGTTTGGGGTCTTCTTCTTCACATGTGGCTGACCACCATATACATTTATAGAAGCTTTTGATACTCAGAAAAAGAGTGACTGTTATCCTAAATGCACAGGCAGCTGGAGGCTATGTGTATTTCCTCAGAAGTAAATCTCATTCAGCCCAATGGGACTTCCTTCCAAGTGAAATATACAAGATTTCAGCTTTAAAGTCCAGAAGTATTCCAGTAAAAATAGAAAGGCAAAATCCATCACTCTTTTACAGAATGCAAGAGGCAAAATGCCATGTCCTGTAGTGATAAGTCAATATCACCAGCTGTTTGAATGGACAATGGGTTTACCCATGAACAAGTGCTTTTCGATTGAGGGATAGTGATCCCTTACATTTTTCTTTGAAGGTGGAAAATGTTTTCTTCAAAAACCTTGCCTTTAAATCCATGGATAAATGAAGACTTCTAACTCTCTTCCCCTAAGGTGTTATCAGCATGGCCCTCAAATCTGCAACCTCTTCCCTTTTCTACTCCTGTTATATGAACTATTCCATTTCACTCCCTTGCACCCATCAGCTGTCCTGATTTTGAATGAGAAAAGTAGGCAGCCTGTTCATCATGGCTTGATGTAACACTGGCAACACTGGAAATTTCATGACTTCAAATGGAAAAAAAGCAGGGGGGAATTGGGATTTCCATCATGATATTTTGCATTGAACTGTTTCCCCCCCACCCCAGCCTTTATTTCTCCACCCATTGCCAAAAATGAAATAAAAAAAAATCCTTTGGGGCACACTTTGATTTCCATTCTACTGGAGAAAGACAACAAAGCCCAGGTCTTCAAGTCCAGTCAAGCATTGGGATGGGGATTGTGGAGACCTCCCGAAAGGATTGGACTATAATTCCCATCAACCTTGACTACTGGCTAGGTTATCTATGGCTAATGGGAGCTACAGTTCAAAACAACAGGAAAGCCACAGGTCCACCTCTTTGGAATGGACTCCCAAGCCAACTACACCAGAGTACAGGTTGCTGTCCTCTGAAGATGCCGGCCATAGAGACTGGCGAAACGTCAGGAAGAACAACCTTCAGAACACAGCCAGAGAGCCCAAAAAACCCATTCTTCCATTGCTTACTTTTTCATAGACTTCACCTGAGCATCATGCTGGCACCCAGATAGGGTATCATGGGGGAAACTGTTAGAAACAACAGTCCTTACTTTTCTTAGACTAAACCTACACTAGACCTATCACTGGAATAACTCCAAGAAATGGGTCAGGAATTCAATGAGTTCAAACCATTTAGAAGGCCAGAGGTTCTAAAGCTGCAAAGTTAGAACCCTCAGCAGTGGGGTAGAAGGTGCAAACATTTCAAGGGGAGTGCAAGACACCTCCTTCTCCTTTCTATTAAATCATTGTTGCTGGTTTTTTTTTAAAAAAATAAAAGAACATTTTTGTAAACCTTGTGTGTCCAGAGAAAAACAACACTTCTGCTTATTTTCAATTTAAAATATTCTCAAGCCACCTCCTACAGTGGTTTGACTGGATTTTCCAGTTCCTTGAGAGGAAAGCAGATGATGGCCCGCAGACACAATCTGCTCACTCAAATAAAAAGAAAATCCTGGAACTTTGTGGCTGCTCCAAAAACTAATTGGAGCAGAAAAAAAGAAATTGATATGGAGCGGGGGGGAAAGAACATTTTTGTTAACCTTGTGTGTCCAGAGAAAAACAACACTTCTGCTTATTTTCAATTTAAAATGTTCTCAAGCCACGTCCTACAGTGGTTTGACTGGATTTTCCAGCTCCTTGAGAGGAAAGCAGATGATGGCCCGCAGACACAATCTGCTCACTCAAATAAAAAGAAAATCCTGGAACTTTGTGGCTGCTCCAAAAACTAATTGGAGCAGAAAAAAAGAAATTGATATGGAGCGCGCGCGCGGGGGGGGGGGGTCCTTTCCTTTTCCTGAATGTGTTTCCACTTGAGGTTGATGAACCCATGAGGTGGGTTTGCAGAGCATTTGGGGACTGCCTCAGAATCAAAGGGGCAACTCGACAACCGTTATTGCTACTTGTTTAGCAATTTGTTCAAGCATGGGGGGGGGGCTTCCAAAACGGTTAAGGAAGGCACCCCTTGTGGCCTTCATCATCCTTTTCACTCTTGCCGAGGACGACGCGAGGATGCTTTGCCTCTTGTGTGCCTGTGCAGTGCGCCGCTTACCACCCCAGGGAGGTAGGGAGGCCTACAGGCCTGTGCATGTGGCTGTATCTCCCCCCCCTCGCCTGCTCTCCCTTGGGACTGATGGATGGCGCACATTTTAAACCAGTCTGAGTCCGGTTTCCCCTCGACGGGCACGGGTGCGGCACAAGGATTTTGCGCAAAGGTACGCCGGAGGCACCCAGGCCTACCGCCTTTCCTGAAGAAGGGAGGCCCCGGGAAGTGAAACGCCTCCGTCGGGGAAGAGGAGCCCCGTGGTGGTGGTGGTGGTGGTTGGTGGCGGCGGCGGTGTGTGAGCGTGCGCTCAGTTGTGCGAAGTCATGTGCCGGGAGAGGTGGTGGCGCTCTCGGAAGGACTCGTTGCAGATGGGGCACTTGAGCTTCTCCTCGCGCCGGCGCTTGACCAGGGGCTCCAGGGCGTACTCCTTCTTGTGGTGGGAGCGCATGTGGTACACCAAGTCGGAGGTCATGCGGAAGGAGGCGTTGCACTTGGCGCACCAGTTCTGCGCCGGCAGGCACAGCGAGGTGAAGGAGGGCGGCAGCAGCGTCAGGGCCGAGGGCAGCTGCAGCTGGAGTTGAGCTTCTCCTCGCGCCGGCGCTTGACCAGGGGCTCCAGGGCGTACTCCTTCTTGTGGTGGGAGCGCATGTGGTACACCAAGTCGGAGGTCATGCGGAAGGAGGCGTTGCACTTGGCGCACCAGTTCTGCGCCGGCAGGCACAGCGAGGTGAAGGAGGGCGGCAGCAGCGTCAGGGCCGAGGGCAGCTGCAGCTGGAGTGGAGGGGCTGCTTGTCCGACGCCGGGACGCCGCCTCCTCCGCCGCCGCCGCCTTGGGCGCTGCCCGGCGAGCCTCGCTCTTTCTCGTCGTCGCCGGCCTCGAGGCCCCCCCGAGAGGCCTTCTTCACCTCCACGAAGGCGCTCCGCTTGGCCTCCCCGGTCTCCGGGCTGGGCGGCCCGAAGAGGCGGCCGCTCTCCTCCAGGCCGAAGTAGCTCCCCGCCGGCCGGTACTGCTGCTGCGGGGTGCACGCCAGCTCCT